TGGATTTCAACTCACAGACTTACACATAGTAGGTCAAAGTTCTATTGCCATGATATACCCTTATCCCAATCATTGCTTTCAGGCAAATATGTTTGTGAGGTTTAGTTTTGATTGTCAACTGGACACAATATAGAATCACTTGGGGAAGGCATCTCAGTCAGGGTGTGTCTAGATGAGATTGGGCTGTGAACTTGTTTGTAGGTGATTTCCTGGTTGAGGTGGGAAGGCTTTGAGTGTGAGCAGTACTATTTTCATGACTGGATCCTGCACTGAATGAAAAGGAGAGAATGAGCTGATGATGGGCATGACCGATTAATTCATTGAGCATGAGTGTCATGTATTAGCTCATTGCTCTTTGCTCTTGACTGTAAATGTAATGACTGTTCTCTCAAGCTCCTGCTGCTGGGACTCTCCTGCTGGGACAGAATGAAACCTGGAACTGTGAGCTAACATAAAGCATTTCTCACATAAGTTTCTTTTTCTTTTTTTTTTTTTTGGTCAGGGTATCATCTCATAGCAATAGCAAATAAAATTATGAAAAATTCCAATTACAAAATGATGCAGGCACCAAAACAGGCTTTCCCTTCAAATCTCCACCATGTGGAATAACTTCTAATGTAGATGTCTTATGGGGCAGATTCTTTTTTGAGACTTTCTATTCTGAGGAGATATGTGGACTTGTCTATCAACTATTTGGGGTTTGAGCCCTGCCATCCTTTGGAACAGGTCCCTTGTCAGCTGGGAGCAGCCCACACCTATGATTGGCAGTTTTAGAGTCAAGGAGTCCTGCTTGTTGTCACCCAACTCTGGAGTAAAAGACCTACAAGTTGGTTGGCAATGTTATTGGCTTTTGCTGTTTCATCAATAGGAAATCTGAGTACATTCTGAACCTCAGTAAATTCTTAAAAACAAGATATATGGACTATGACCTCCTACAACAAGAGGAACAATGTGCTTAGCTGAAGGGTAGGAGCTGTCTCCAGTTGCTCTTCCCCAGGTCTGGGTTGTTTTTGTTTTGTTTTTCTGTTCTTCTTGGTGTTAGAACAACTCAGCAAAATAAAATTCTAGTTTATTGTTGTACATTATTTCATATATACATCAAGTAGGCTAATAATTAAATACACAGTAACTTCATGGACAGAAGAAAGAAACCTGTTATCTTTGACCTTTTAAAACATCTCATAATCAATCTATATCTATTATCTATATATCTACCAATCATCAATCACCTATTGAATAACTAATATATACACACACATATATATATATATATATATATATATATATATA